GTTTATAAACTATGACATTTATAAATGTATGAATCATATTGTTAAAAACTGACTTTGAAAAATAAATCTGTTCGTTTTTTCTTATAAAAAACTAAATAAAACATAAATATTGGTGGTAGTTTTTGACTGTGTAACGTTACATAAGAAGGTGCTGTAGTCTAAGGAAACCAAACTAACTCRTGGTCCATTGAGAACATGTTTGAGGTGAACCCTCCTCCTCTCAACATGCTGAGCACAGCATCCCTGTGAAACATGGCCGTGGRAGCATCATGCTGTTTGTTTCCATCAGCAGGGACAGGGAACATGGTGAGAATCAGAGGAAGGGTCACCTTTCAGCACCTGAAGTACACCTCACTGCTTTAAGAAAAACCAGTACAATGTCCTAGGATGATCCAGTCAACAGTCCAGGCCTCAGTCCACCTGAGAATCTCTGGTAAAATACTGTTGAACATAAACAGGAATCATCCAACCTGCAGCAGTTTAGTCATGGAAAACACACAAAAACTCCAGTGTTTAGCTGAATTCTTTGGCAAGCACCATTTTTCACGTAGAAATCTTTAAAATATATATTTTAAGCATTTAACTTTATTAATCATCAGTATGTTTTTTAAATTATAAGCAAATTAATCTATTTAAATAGCATGTTGTAAAGCAACAGAACAAAGAATACCAAGGCGAAGGAAAAGGAGCTGAATTTAAAGGTTTACAGCTTTAACATCGTAGGAACTCAGGTGATAAAACACTTTCCTGTCCAACAGTGTTCTCCTGGAGGTCAGCAGTTTCTACTCCTTTGGTTACTTTGGTTTGAACCTTCCTCTCATTATTGTTCATCACTTCCATGTTGCATGGTCTGAAGCCAGGAGACCAGGGACTCCACTGGGTTGTTCTCCTGCCTCACTGGGTCATCGCAGGTTGAAGGCGAGGGCCACTGTAAGGATGACGCCCACCAGCATCATGAAAGGCAGCCATGTTTTCAGAAAGCCTGCACAGCTGAGCCAGCAGCAGAGACAAGAAACAACTTCATGTCATCACAAACAACAAAATATAAATGTCACTAAAGTTTTTATTATTGCCTTCATTCCAAATTTGATGTGAAATGTCACTTTGCAGCCGGGATTTGAACCGGCGACCTTCTTACTGAGAAGCATCGGCTCTACCAACTGAGCCACCAGTTTTASAGATATTAAGCTACAATATGGTGGTAGCTGAAAATTACTCACAACAACACAATCTCATCACAAACAAATCTTAGTTTAAAAGTCTGGTATGAAGGCAGCAGGTTCAAGACTTTTTTAATACTTCTGATCTACCCTGATCTACCCTGATCTACCCTGATCTACTCTGCTTTTCCTGCTTTTCTGGTGCCTCCTTTACAAAAACAATCATCCAAAACTAGACATGATGGACGTGGTCAGCTGGTTTCTCAACACTACTGATCACATGTTTCTACACTGAATCAGGGCGATGGAGAGCCTTCTTGTCCAAGTGGAACATGTGAGCTTCAGATCCAAACCAGGATTAAGTCAAATTTGGACAAAATGATCTTAACTACATTTTCAGATTCCTGCTTTAAAAGCTTTTAATACCTGGATCATCCTGATATCATAAACTTATCTAGAGATGTGACTTCATTTGTCTTGTTGGTTACAATAATACATTACTGTTTGGCAGAGCTGTAAAGTAACTAAGTACAAATACTTTGTTACTGTACTTAAGTAGAAATTTTGGTTATCTGTACTTTACTTAAGTAATTATTTTTCAGCGTACTTTTTACTTTTATTACATTTTTACACAATTATCTGTACTTTCTACTCACATTTTTAAACAGGTAAGAAGTAGAAATTTGTTACTCCTGTTTTATTCTGAGTTGTTACTTTAAAAATCCTCTCCTGATAAACTGTGTCTCCTATAGAGTGAATTTAATTGTGTTTGGATGAGAAGTATAAATATATACCATTCTGACACACTATTAGCT